TTCAATGGTCTTTGGCGACCCCCTGTGAAAGGGTCATTCGACCCACAAAGAGGTCGTGACCCACATGTTGAGAGCCGCTGCTGTAGGTAATATCGATGTCGTTCGTCATCTTTGCCTACAATTCTGCTAGCACAACATACAGTCAGATACATTACCTGCTGGTGGATGATCTCCAGGGGGTAGTGGTTCAAGGGCAACAGTGGTGACTGTGTTGATTCAACCTGGGTGTCCCTTGCCTAGCGAAACAACACTGAACATTTGGCTTTATGTTTTCTTTATGTAACATTGATTTGACGCACTTTTCTAAACCATATATGATAATGATGTTTACATTGTGGTGGTGGTGGTGAAAGTAGTAGTATGAGTAGTAGTAGCAGTAGTAGTAGTAGTAGTAGTAGTAGTAGTAGTAGTAGTAGTAGTAGTAGTAGTAGTAGTAGTAGTAGCAGCAGCAGTAGTAGCAGTAGTAACAGCAGCAGTAGTATTAATAGTATTAGTAGTAGTAGCAGTAGCAGGAGGAGTAATAGTAGTAGTAGGAGTAGGTAGTAGTAGTAGTAGTAGTAGTAGTAGTAGTAGTAGCAGCAGTAGCAGTAGCAGCAGTAGTAGCAGCAGCAGTAGTAGCGGTATTAGCAGCAGTAGTAGTAGTAATAGTAGTAGTAGTAGTGCAGTAGTAGGAGTTGTAGTAGTAGGAGTAGGTAGTGGTAGTAGTAGTAGCAGCAGCAGCAGCAGCAGCAGCAGTAGTAGTAGTAGTAGTAGTAGTAGTAGTAGTAGTAGTAGTAGTAGTAGTACAACAATAAGACGCAAATAAGAAACACATTAATCTCACAAGCCAGGTGCCATCTAGACATCCGATCTACCCAATTTCAACAGCATCTCCCACCAATCACCACACACTTCCCGACCCACATCAAATCTACCCCATCTACGCCACTGCCTGTGGAAAGGCGTTCTCTACCCGCTGGTAGGAGATCCTCTCAATTTCCTGTTTATAATTGACAATTTTCTTTTCTGGTCACGCAATTTTCACTTTTTTTGGTTTAATTTTGCCGAACTAATCTTCAGTTCGCTTCTTTGCTCCAGTTTTGTGGCATTTCTTCTGTGCGATAATTAGACTTTGAATCAAGCCTCTCGCTCGCGCTTCAAGTAGAATTCCGGGCCTGCAGCTGTGATGCTCTTTTTCTTGAGTACTGTCTGCCCAAGGCATTCATGTTAACTCACTTCGTACCTAGCGACTCGCCATACGTTTGTTTCTTTAGATAGTATGTTTGTCCAAAAAAAAAAAAAAAAAGGAACGGGGTCTTATATTTCTTCTTCTTCTTTTTCTTCACGTTTACCAGCTGTAAACTCGGGCTAAAAGTTCTGGTTGGTTAATTTGCCTGTGGACTTTAAACTTGTTCCAGAGCCTTAATGTTGCGTGCACATCCCTTTTACATATCTGACTTATTTGTACGCAGACCGTTGCAATCTTGCCTCTCAGGCAGATGTACCTTAAATTCGAAGGAACCCCCACTTAGTCCACTCTTACGACATGCTTGTTGCAGAGGCAGTGGGTCTAATCTTGTTTTTCCCACAATGGGGCCCCAGAGCCCAGACGGGAGAGTCCTATATTATTTTATTGCTTGGTTATGTTCACGTTAGTCTCCCCAAATAGAGTAGGTCCCTTTTCATTAACATGTTTGTTGGGCTGGTCGACTTTCCTGAAGGTTACGGGTGTGTCCCGCTCTGTTGATTGCTTTCTGTGATGTCTTGTATTTACGTTTTCATTTCCAGAAAGAGAATGCCTTTGACACAGGTTGCAGTACTCTCTAGTGGGGTTGTGTTAGGACCAGTGTCTCTCCATGTTTTTGGAGTGTTAAAAGCGCTGGCACGCTGAAATATATAACACACGATATCAACGGTATTGCGGAACACCCCAGTAACCTTGTGCCAAGGTGACAGGTTCAACTAATCAGAAGTGAGATAGTGTGTATATGGGGCGTAGGGGATCAACGTTACTTTAACCGTTTGCTTAAAAAAATACCATAAGTTTTTTTTTTTTTTTTTTGGAGGATGTCTGAAATATTTTTTTTCGGAGGATGTATGTTCTTCGGATTAAAAAATCAACATTAATTCATGTATAAGAATCAAAATTTATTCAAACACAGTCACGTTATCTTCTTCTGGAACATTGTCATAACTCTCCAAATCCCCAACTCTGGTCTGATCCGCATTACCTTATTATTTAGTGCGCACCAACGGCGTCTGTACTTGGACTGGCCATTCGGCAACAAGTCTTTCGTTCTAGCTGACGATGTTAACTATGGCTTATTTTAGGGTTAAGTAAAAGGTGTATTAGGCAAATGGGACTAGACATATATTTTACAGACCAATCGTCAACCTGGTGGCTGGCCCCATTCCCGGTACAGTCTGTAACTTGTATAAATGGTTGACCGTGTCATGGTACAGTCAGTAACATGTATAATTGGTTAACCCTGTCCTGGTACAAAATTGTATCTATAAATGGTTCACCGTGTGCTAGGAGAGTAAGAGGCATCTATAAATTGTTCGACGTAATAAGGTACAGCCAGTAACGTCTGCAAACGGTTCACCCTGTGCTAGTACAACCAGCAACGTCTATAAATGATTTACCATGACCCGGTACAGTCAATAAAGTCTATAAATGGTTCACCCTCTGCTGATACAGTTAGTAACGTCTATAAATAGTTCATCCTGTGCTGGTACAACCAGTAACGTTTATAAATGGTTCATCTTGTGCTGGTACAGCCAGCAACGTCTCTAAATGCCCCACTCTCTGCTGGTACAAACAGTAACGTCTATAAATGCTCCACCCTCTGCTGGTACAACCAGTAACGTCTATAAATGCTCCAACCTTTGCTGCTACAACTAGTAATGTCTATAAATGCTCCAACCTGTGCTGGTACAAGCAGTAACGTCTATAAATGTTCCACCATCTGCTGGTACAACCAGTAACGTCTATAAATGATCCAACCTGTGCTGGTACAAGCAGTAACGTCTATAAATGCCCCACCTTCTGCTGGTACAACTAGTAACGTCTATAAATGTTATAACCTGTGTTGGTACAACCAGTAACGTCTATAAATGCTCCAGCCTGTGCTGGTACAACCAGTAAGGTATATAAATGCTCCAACCTGTCCTGGTACAAGCAGTAAAGTCTATAAATGCTTCAACCTATGCTGGTACAACCAGTAACGTCTATAAATTTTCCAATCTGTGCTGGTACAACCAGTAACGTCTATAAATGCTGCAGCCTGTGCTGGTACAACCAGTAACGTCTATAAATGTTCCAACCAGTGCTGGTACAAACAGTAACGTCAATAAATGCTCCAACCTGTGCTGGTACAACCAGTCACGTCTATAAATGCTCCAACCTGTGCTGGTACAATCAGTAACGTCTATAAATGATCCAACCTGTGCTGGTACAAGCAGTAATGTCTATAAATGCCCCACCCTCTGCTGGTACAACCAGTAACGTCTATAAATGCTCCAACCTGTGCTGGTACAACCAGTAACGTCTATAAATGCTCCAGTCTGTGCTGGTACAACTAGTAACGTCTATAAATGTTTTAACCTGTGTTGGTACAACCAGTAACGTCTATAAATGTTCCAACCTGTGCTTGTACAACCAGTAACGTCAATAAATGCTGGAACCTGTGCTGGTACAACCAGTCACGTCTATAAATACTCCAACCTGTGCTGGTACAACCAGTAACGTCTATAAATGTTCCAACCTGTGCTGGTACAACCAGTAACGTCTATAAATGCTGCAGCCTGTGCTGGTACAACCAGTAACGTATATAAATGTTTCAACCTGTGCTGGTACAACCAGTAACGTCAATAAATGCTCAAACCTGTGCTGGTACAACCAGTCACGTCTATAAATACTCCAACCTGTGCTGGTACAACCAGTCACGTCTATAAATGCTCCAACCTGTGCTGGTACAATCAGTAACGTCTATAAATGCTCCAACCTGTGCTGGTACAAGCAGTAACGTCTATAAATGCTCCACCCTCTGCTTGTACAACCAGTAACGTCTGTAAATGTTCCACCCTCTGCTGGTACAACTAGTAACGTCTATAAATGCTCCAACCTGTGCTGGTACAATCAGTAACGTCTATAAATGCTCCAACCTGTGCTGGTACAAGCAGCAACGTCTATAAATGCTCCACCCTCTGCTTGTACAACCAGTAACGTCTATAAATGTTCCACCCTCTGCTGGTACAACTAGTAACGTCTATAAATGCTCCAACCTGTGCTGGTACAACCAGTAACGTCTATAAATGTTCCAGCCTGTGCTGGTACAAGCAGTAACGTCTATAAATGTTCCACCCTCTGCTGGTACAACCAGTAACGTCTATAAATGTTCCAACCTGTGCTGGTACAACCAGTAACGTCTAAAAATGCTGCAGCCTGTGCTGGTACAACCAGTAACGTCTATAAATGTTCCACCCTCTGCTGGTACAACTAGTAACGTCTAAAAATGCTCCAACCTGTGCTGGTACAACCAGTAACGTCTATAAATGTTCCAGCCTGTGCTGGTACAAGCAGTAACGTCTATAAATGTTCCACCCTCTGCTGGTACAACCAGTAACGTCTATAAATGCTCCAGCTTGTGCTGTTACAACAAGTAACGTCTATAAATGTTCCAGCCTGTGCTGGTACAACCAGTAACGTCTATAAATGTTCCACCCTCTGCTGGTACAACTAGTAACGTCTAAAAATGCTCCAACCTGTGCTGGTACAACCAGTAACGTCTATAAATGTTCCAGCCTGTGCTGGTACAAGCAGTAACGTCTATAAATGTTCCAGCCTCTGCTGGTACAACCAGTAACGTCTATAAATGCTCCAGCCTTGTGCTGTTACAACAAGTAACGTCTGTAAATGCTCCAGCCTGTGCTGGTACAACCAGTAACGTCTATAAATGCTCCAACCTGTGTTACTGGTACAGCTACAATACAGAACATCGAGCCTTTAATCCGAGTCTTCAGAGGACGAAGTGACCATCGTCAGCAGTCTCACTGTCAGAGCCGGAGTCCTCCTCATTGTCACTGACCTGCCCACAAGCATAACACTTCTTCTTGATGTCGATCCAACATTCGCGACAGTAGCCCACGCCACAGCCCTCCGTGGGACATGTATGAAAGCCCTTGGTCTCCAGCTCGCCACAAATGATGCAGGTGTCCTTGGATGCCTTGAATACCCCCAGACACTTGGACAGGAACGGGTACTGTCTCTTCAGCGCCAAAATGATGCCGATCTTTCTCTGAAATTCTCGATCTCGTAACTGTTTGCGCACTTTCTTACGCATGTGCATCAAAAAGCCCACCCGTTTCCGGTACCTCTCGTTGTATAGATAGAGAATTCTCTTCTTCTCTCGTTTTCTGTAGTAGAAAGCGGCAATGACGCGCCTCATCCGGAGGCCAAACGCCTCAAAGTACAAAAAGACCCACACCAACATGTAAGTGCCGAATATGAAAGCAAGAATGACCACGTCAGTTTTGGATGGCCTGGGCAAGCAGGCGTAGTTTGTGGTCAAGCTGTCCAGTTCTTGCTTGGAGTTGAATCGCTCTAGGAATGACCTCACCAGAGCGCTCATGAAACCCTTGCCGTAGATTTTGATATCCACAACGTGCTCCCCGGTTTGATGATATTCAATTTTGCTGTTTCTGGCAATGATGTCCAGAACCTGGTAGAAGATGTTGTCCATGTAGCAGATGATGGCGCTGATGATGACCCGGAGAAGCAGCTGTATGGTCCCTGCCACCACTTTCTTGCGTTCTGCGGCACTCAGTTTGATCTTGTTTGGGTCGTACAGTTCCTTTTTCTCGGCTTTCTTTAGCGGCAGCAGTGTCCGCTTGCCGCGGTCTTTCCTTCGGGCGTCGATATGGCGGAAGTAGGCGGTGATATATTTGTTGTCCCAGTTGAGATCCGTCAAATAGTTTCCGTTGTACTTGTAAGCGCCATAGAAGACGATCAGGAAGGTGAAGGTCAGCACATGTGTGATGACCTTCAAGGTGATGTTGATGGTGTCAGTCTTGGCCTTGACCTCGTGTATGGTGGCCTGTCGCATCTCTTCCACTGGCATGTAGTTCGCGTCGGCGCTGCCCACCACTTTATACTGGAGGTTTACCTTGGCCCCATCTTCCATGTTGTCCATGACGTCGCGCGCAGACACATAAGTGTCCCCAAAGCCTGGACTCACCTGGCTGGCAGCGTTACAGTCCATGCCGATCACCCCGGGGATCAGCTTCACCAGGTTGCAGAAGACAGTGATCTTCAACGGCCAGCAAACGATATAGCCCAGGAAAGACAGTTTATCCATACACTTGTCCTCAAGTTGGCGCATTTTGTCTCGACATCTTTGGACGCCATTGCTGAAGGTGCCATGGCAGCGCAGATCCATTTTCTTCTCCCACTGCTTCTCCACTTTTTTGCCGGCATCTTTATCCGCGCTATTGTCCTTGTAGTTGTTGTCGATCTTGTCCACCACGCTGTCTCTCTTGTCCCCTATTCTTTCCACATCTTTGATACTGCTCTCCATCTCGCGATTCTCATTCTCGTTATCTTTCAGCTCTTTGGTAAGTGGACTGAAGGCTTTCTTGATCGCCTTGGAAGCCCGAACAACTAGAAAATTGTCCTTTAAGAGATCGCCGACAGCGTGTTGTACCGGATGCATCCTCAAGTTGAACTTGGTCTTGGTGTGGTTGGCCGTCAGCTCCGAGTTGCAAGTCATGCTTCTAACGATTTCCTCGCAGTTGTCCATGATGTTGGTGATTGGTCCGTTGACGAGGTACACAATAGCGAAAGCGGCAAAGTACGACCGGCCGGCTTTGCCGACGAATGTTGGAACTACCAAGGTCATGACACATCGCATCTGCACGCTGAAGGCAAAGGTCAGTGATAAAACAAATCCCAGACCACAGCCAATGATCAGCTTATACTTTTCCTGGAGGCTCATCTTCTGAATGACCAGGAAGTACAGAGCCACCGACATCCCGATCCCCACAGGGAACCACAGCACCATCTTCAGCAACCATTGCTCATCCGGCGCTGACTTCATCAGCTTGGTGAAGAAACCCTTTCTCTTTTTTACTTTTCTTTCTTTGTTTCTTGTCTTCCTCGTCTGGAGAGGAGGGAGGTGAATCTGAACCTTCTTCCTTCTCTGCACCGTCTGGGCTATCCTCGTTTTCTTCGTCCTCTGAAATGGTGGAATCCTCAACATCTTTTGAACTGGTTTTACTCTCTGTGTCATCCGGACTCTCGTCACTCCCAGAACTGGTTTTACCTTCTGAGTCCTCCGGACTCTCTTCGCTTGAAGACATGGTTTTACTCTCTGTGTCATCTTGGCTCTCCTCACTTGTAGACATGGTTTTACTCTCTGTGTCATCTTGGCTCTCCTCACTTGTAGACATGGTTTTACTCTCTGTGTCATCTTGACTCTCCTCACTTGTAGAAATGGTTTTACTCTCTGTGTCATCTTGGCTTTCCGAATTGGGAGAGCTAGTCTCACTCTCTGCCTCGCCTGGACTCTCTACATTTGTAGATCCAGTCGCCTCTTCTGTATCATCTGAACTCTCTACATTTGTAGAGCGGGTTTCTCTCTCATCGTCCTGGCTCTCAGAGACAACAGTGCCGCCAGAACTAGCAGCACTGTTGTGAGTGGCCATGTTGGAACCAGCCTGGGATCGGCGGTTGCTGGAAGCCCCACTTCTGTCGGTGGATGATGCTACCACAGACTGCCCACCCACAGCACTTCTTCTGTTTAGCGAGCGGTTATTCCCAGGCGCTGAGATACTGGATACAAATGAATCCACTTTCGGCTGTAACCTTTTACTTCCCTTTTTGCGGTTGCTGTAGTTTACATTATTCTCTTCATCGCAGCCCTTGCTGTGCATAATCTCAGAACCACTCACTACAGCAGTCTCAGCGGCAAGCTGTGATGTGTCCTTCTCACTGTTAACGCTAAGTTGCAATGATTCGCCAATGTTGCCAGTGCTGTTGCCGTGCAGTTGCCTAGAGCTGTTGCAATGATTCGCCTAGATGTTGCCAGTGCTGTTGCCGTACAGTTGCCCAGAGCTGTTGCCGTGCAGTTGCCCAGAGCTGTTGCCGTGCAGTTGCCCAGAGCTGTTGCCGTACAGTTGCCCAGAGCTGTTGCCGTACAGTTGCCCAGAGCTGTTGCCGTACAGTTGCCCTAGAGCTGTTGCCGTGCAGTTGCCTAGAGCTGTTGCCGTGCAGTTGCCCAGCTGTTGCCCAGAGCTGTTGCCGTACAGTTGCCCATAGCTGTTGCCGTACACTTCCCAGAGCTGTTGCCGTACAAGAGCTGTTGTCGTACAGTTGCCCAGAGCTGTTGCCGTACAGTTGCCCAGAGCTGTTGCCGTACAGTTGTCTATAGCTGACACTTGGACTGTTGACAAGGACATGTTTTCTTAGCGGATTTCCCACATCTTTACCCTTGTATGTTTGTACATCAAAAGCATCGGTGTTAGGATGGAGGCCCAGGTGTCCCCTGTGAGTACCATGTGACTCATAACTGTTGCCACAGGAGCCATCTGTCAATAACGTGTTTGTGTCCATAGTGACATGATGTACCACAGACTGAATAGTGTCTGACTCGTTCATCGCGCCAGGTTGTAGAGACAGACCTGGGTGTGTCACATTCTTTCCACGATCTGCCGGCACAGTACCATAGTGCAATGCGCCATCATAACATACAGGATTAGAACCCCGGGGGTGATAATGTTTGTCTACGTGTACTTGCTGGTTTGCGACTGTGCCACTTGTGATGGCACATGTCGTACTTATGAAGTTTAAGTGGGAGTTTGACGCTGCAAGAGTCTGGTCTGCATGGCTATGTGACTCAGAAACTGTCACTGAAGTTTCCCTGGTGGAAATTGTTGAAGCTGACGAATTAAAATGTCTAAGTTCTATCTCTTCCTCGGCCATGGATGACTCTGATGAAGTGGTAACTACGTCGCAAGAACGTACGTGTATGACACGTGTTTGACAGTACGTGATTGACAGTACGTGTATGACAGTACGTATTTGACAGTACGGGTATGACAGTACGTCTGACAGCAAAATGTTGATGTTTCACACTTAACAATGAACCGTGGAGAAGACTGTCTCACCTGGTAGATTATTCATTCCCTCAATCACAAAAAAGTAACAAGTAACAAACATTTGTCAAAGTTTTTGTCCTTGTAGATTGTGTGTAGATTATTCTCATTTTAGATTATTCTTGATGTAGGTTATTCTTATTGTAGACCACTGTATTGTTTTCTCAATCACAGAAGAAATATTCGACTGTCTGAAGAATCGTGTCCGTTGGAGGTCAGCGGCGCCAAGAAGAAGAAGAAAAGATTTAACTTTGCAGGACTGCCCCTGAATAAACAAGCCAAATCTTTATATATCTTGTTATTTCTATACCATGGAGACTTCCTCCACAATTTATTACAACATCACAGATATCAATGACGTCATTCGTCAGCAGACTAGAACAAATCAAAATCCACATGAGGCTACATCGTAGATGCTGACCCGGCACACTTCTATCTATCCATCCATCTATTTATTAACATGAAACACAAAAATCGATCACGTTCAACCTAATGTAAGGCAGTATCGGCTATAAATGTGGTCTGGTTTCTTGATGCTAATTATGTTGTCTAAGAAACGTTAGCTGCATCAGAACTAGTGGCTTGGACCGGTAGTCTGGTACCTAGAGACGGTTAGTGGGACGGGGGCTGGTATGCACTATACACATCCACACACACACACATATATAGACATACATATGCAGTAGCATTTCTTTCGCAGAAGCTTGCTCTCATAACAACCCTCCGGAAAAGCTCTTAATCACAAGCAAGATGTCCCGCGTCCGATACACCCATCTGGAGAACATCCGCCACATCCTGCACCCATCTTCTCTTTGGCCTTTCTCTTCCTCTCTTCCCAGGCATATACACCTCCATTACTGTTCTCTCTAAACTTACGTGACGTTTCAAGTGACCAGACGAATACAATTTTCTACGTTTTATTGTCTTTAATAGCCAGCCGTCTTCAATATTCAGTTCTTAAAATATGGATGCATTTGTTTTTTTCTTTAGCCATGATATTCTTAGAACCTGTCTATAACATTTGTATTCAAAGGAATTTATGCGCTGTTCAGATAGTTTAGTAAATGTCCAGGTCTCACATGCGAATTGTTGTAAGGGGAAAGATGCATGCTCTTAGAAATCTAATTTTCATAGTTTTGTCTGTCCCACTCCATAATTTTTAGTTGTTTTTTACTCTTTGAAGAGCAATCGGCAGTCGTCGTTTAATGTCATTCATTATGTCATAATTGTTACTAATCAATGACTTAAAGATATTCAAAACTGTCTACAACCTTCAATCTTTCCTCATTACCACATATTTCTTTCTCCATACTAGTTATATCTGTATGAATTATCTTTGTTTTTGCTATGTTCAGATATAAGTTGTGATTTTCACCATTTCTGTAGGTTGCGGTTATTAGGTTGCATATAAAAGTCTGTGATGTGGGAAGCATGTATCATCGGTATATCAGATCTCTGGTATTTCATGACCACCAATATTTCAGGCATCATATTGGTCTCTGATTATTTCATCTCTGACATTTCTTATTATATTTTCTGTGTACAGGTAAAACAAATAGGGTGACAGCACACAGCCCCTCAATATGCACTACAATAAGATGACAGGTGGTCAGTCTTGGCCAGTTTAGGCTGTTTTAATTCATTTTCTCTTATTTCTTACCTTCCTCAAATGCTTTTTCTCACCTCACCGTCTTTGTCTTGTCATATCTTTATCAGCCAAAGTTTCTCATCCTCACGTTTTCCGCGAACCCAAAAGGGCGCTTCTCGCATTCATTAGCCTGAAGTTATATTTAGACAGGCGGGACTCGCCGGAAGTGAGACTTCTCCAACATACGACTGATCTTAAACGAACTGCCGGCTTATTTAACATCATTCGCGGATTTACAAACCTCAGAAGAGAACTAATCTTGCCAAAAAGAAGCCTCAGATCTGTTTAAGCTCGGTGACATTTGCTGAAAGTTGTCTTGTAAGTTCCTTGGGTCTGTTTTAGTTCTTCGCGGAGTGATTTTCTTGAGATGTTTGGAAATAAAAAGTGCAGCATCAACATAGGGAGTTTATGCGTTTGTACTACAAATAATGTTTTATCTTTTAGTCCCTTGACCCCTCGTCTGTTTTGTGTCTAGAAAATGTATGTGGTGAGGGATCTATTTTTAACTAGTCAGTTTAACTGAATGAGCGAGAGAGAGAGAGAGGGGGGGGAGGGAGAGAGCAAGAGAGAAAGACAGAGAGAGGAGAGAGAGCGCAAGACAGAGTGAGCGAGCGAGACAGAGAGAGCGAGCGAGAAAGAGAGAGTCAGAGAGTGAGAGAGCGAGACAGAGACAAAGAGAGAGAAAGAGACATAGAGAAGAGAGAGTAGGGACTGAACAGGAATGTTGCTGGAGCTGCAATGCTGTATGGAAGGGAATCTCGAAGCAGGAACGAAGGAGATACAGGAACAGCATGGGGAGAGAAAGAGATATACTTTCTGGGAGAAACGTCTGGTTATTTTCCATATTTCAATAAATGTGGCAATACAGTCTCGGAGAATGAGGCGAACTGACAGCGACACAGAAGAACATAGATCCGAGACAGAGTTGAGAGTTCACGAACAAAAGTTAACAGATACAAGGGTAGAAAATAACAAACGGGGATTTTGTGACTAAGTTTTCTAAGACAGGCAAAAATGAATGTAAGTGAGTGAGTGATTTGGTAAGTAAGAGGGTTGGTGATGAGTGAGTGGGTTGGTGGGTGAGAGAATTGGTAGATGTGGTGATTGGGTGGGTGACTGACAGAATTGGTCAGTGAGTGGGTATTCTAGTGAGTAAGTGAGTGAGGTGGTCAGTAAGTGAGTTGGTGGGTGAGTGAACAGGTAGATGGGTTGGTGAATAATGGATCTGTATGTGGATGGGTAAGTCAGTGAGCTAGTCAGTGAATGGGTTGGTGGGTGGGTGGTTGAGTGGGTTAATCAGTGAGTGGTTTGGTGGGTTGATTTGGTGAGAGAGTGGATGAACTGTCTGATAGGTTGGAGTGAGTAAGTGTATTTTGGGCTGAGTCAGCGAGCCCCCTATCCAGGAGGAAAAGAACAAAAACATACCATAAAACAAACAGATTGACAGACAAACTGATAGATGGGCAGATAAACAGACGGGCATACAGA